CGATGGAGCGATCAGCCATGTTTAAAAGCCATTGAGCCCGGAAAAGAGGGGGAACGAAAAAGATTGAGATGAGGGAAAGAACCAATAAACAAAAGCTTTCGAGGGAAAGTGTCACCAAGTCAGAGCACAGTTGGCTCTTCTTATTTAAAACCATTTGGAAAATGTCCAAAAGAGGAGGTTGTTTTTTTTTTATTTTGGTAAACAAAGAGATTTGGAATGGCATAGACGTGATGTTGGCTGGACCACAGATTCTAAGCAGAGCTATGCCTAAAAATAAAGAATGTTTTCCATTTCTGGTTTCCCCTCATTTGAAATCTCACTTCCATATGTTAAAATACTCACTTTAATTTGGGAATATTCTTTTTTGCTTTTTCACATTCGGGGGATTTAAGGCAGACAGCATCCTGGATGGAAACAAAACGAGATCATTCAACATGATCGTTGTTACTATTCTTTTTTGAGGACTCAGAGTGAATCTACAGCAGTGGTTCTCAACCTTCCTAATGCCGTGACCCCTTAATACAGTTCCTCATGTGTGGTGGCCCCCAACCATAACACTGTTTTCATTACTACTTCATAACAGTCATTTTACTACTGTTATAAATCATAGTGTAAATAAATATCCAATAAGCAGGATGTATTTTCATTCAATGGACCAAACTGGGCACAAATACCATACCCAATACGCCCAAATGTGAATGCTACTGGGATTGGGGGAGGATTGATTTTGTAATTTGGGAGTTGTAGTTGCTGAGTTTATACTTCACCTATAATCAAAGAGCATTCTGAACTCCACCAATGATGCGTTTGAACCAAACCTGGCACACAGAGCTCCCATGACTAGCGGAAAGCACTGGAAGGATTTGGTGGGCATTGACCTTGAGTTTGGGAGTTGTAGTTCACCTATATCCAGAGAGCACTGTGGACTCACACAATGATGGATCTGGACCCAACTTGGCATGAATACTCAGTATGCCCAAATGTGAACACTGGTGGATTCTGGGGAAAATAGACCTTGACATTTGGGAGTTGTAGTTGCTGGGATTTATAGTTCACTACAATCAAAGAACATTTTGAACTCCACCAATGATAGAATTGGCTCAAACTTCCCACATGGAATCCCCATGACCATCAGAAAATACTGTGTTTTCTGATGGTCTTTGGTGACCCCTCTGACACCCCCTCGCGACCCCCTCAGGGGTCCCAACCCCCAGGTTGAGAAACACTGATCTACAGTGTAGAATTAATGCAGTTTAATATCAGTTTAATCATTTTTTGGTTTTTTTTGTCATGTCAGGAGCGACTTGAGAAACTGCAAGTCGCTTCTAGTGTGAGAGAATTGGCCGTCTGCAAGGACGTTGCCCAGGGGACGCCTGGATGATTTGATGTTTTTATCATCCTTGTGGGAGGCTTCTCTCATGTCCCCGCATGAGGAGCTGGAGCTGATAGAGGGAGCTCTTCCGCCTCTCCCCGGATTTGAACCTGCGACTTGTCGGTCTTCAGTCCTGCCGGCACAGGGGTTTAACCCACTGAGTCATTCCAGTCACATTCCCTTAAAGTGCTGTTTGCATCTATTGTCCAAAAGCCTGGTCCCAAAACCATGCCTTTAGTTTATTTTGAAAAACTAGGAGGGAGGTGGCTGGTCTTAATCATAGTTTGAGTCCACAGTACTCTCTTGATGTAGGTGAACTACAACTCCCAAACTCAATGTCAATACCCACCAAACCCTTCTAGTGTTTCCTGTTGGTCATGGGAGTTCTCTGTGCCAAGTTTGGTTCAATTCCATCATTGGTGGAGTTCAGAATGCACTTTGATTGTAGGTCACCTATAAATCCCAGCAACTACAACTCCCAAATGACAAAATCTTTTTGAGTGATGGTCACTACTTGGGTGTGTAGGTGTCTTGTGGCCAAATTTGGCGGCAATTCGTCCAGTGGTTTTTGAGTTATGTTAATCCCACAAACATATATTACATTTTTATTTATATAGATTCTGAGTCTAGTGTCTCAATTGAGGGAAGCCATACTCTCTTCTGCTTTGGTTAGAGCTCACCTTGAATAACTTTGAGTCCAGTTATGGGCATCACAATTCAAGAAAGCTATGGACAAGTTGGGAAGTGCGTGGAGATGGGCCACCAAATAGTCAAAGATCTGGAAGCCATGAAGCCCTCTGAGGAGCAGCTTAGAAAGCTGAGGATGTTTACTTTAGAGAAGAGAAGGCTGAGAGAAGTGGACATGGGAGCCATGTTTCAATATTTTGGAAAGCATGTCCCATTGAGGAGGAGGCAAGATTATATGGCTATATGGCCATGTTCTAAGACAGTGGTTCTCAACCTGGGGTCCACAGATGTTTTTGGCCTTCAACTCCCAGAAATCCTAAAAGCTGGTAAACTGGCTGGGATTTCTGGGAGTTGTAGGCCAAAAACATCTGGGGACCCCAGGTTGAGAACCACTGCTCTAGAGACACAAGGGAGCCATGGATTCGAACTACAGGAAAAGAAATCCCACCATCTCTGGAGGTTGCTGTAAGTTGTTTGGGCTGTCTGGCCATGTTCCAGAAGCATTCTGATGTTTCTCCTGCATCTATGGCAGGCATCTTCAGAGGTTGTGAGGTCTCTGGAAGCTTTTAAACAGAGGCTGGATGGCCATCTGTCAGGGGTGATTTGAATGCAATATTCCTGCTTCTTGGCAGGGGTTGGACTGGATGGCCCATGAGGTCTCTTCCAACTCTTTGGTTCTATGATTCTATGATGCCTGCCATAGATGCATGTGAAACATCAGGAGAGAATGCTTCTGGAACATGGACATACAGCCCGAAACACTTAAAGCAACTCAGTGATTCCAGACATGAAAGCCTTTGACAATACATCTCTGGAGGTTCTTAAGCACAGGATGGATGGCTATCTGTTTGGAATGCTTGGATTTGGCCTTCCTGCATAAAGAAGGGGGTTGGACTGGATGGCCCTGGGGATGTCTTCCAATTCATAAGATACTATGAGTCTATAATTCCCAACATGCACCATTGGGTTGTTGTAGGTTTTGGGCTATATGGCCATGTTCTAGAAGCATTTTCTCCTGATGTTTCGCCTGCATTTATGGCAAGCATCCTCAGAGGTATGCTTGCCATAGATGCAGGTGAAATGTCAGGAGAAAATGCTTCTAGAACATGGCCATATAGCCCAAAAAATCTACAACAACCCAACAATATGTTGGAGTTCCTGTGGACAACAAGTTAAACATGAGCCAACAATGTGATGTGGCGGCAAAAAAAGCCAATGGGATTTTGGCCTGCATCAATAGGAGCATAGTGTCTAGATCAGGGAAGTCAATGCTACACCTCTATTCTGCTTTGGTTAGACCACACCTGGAATATTGTGTCCAATTCTGGGCACCACAATTCAAGAGAGATATTGCCAAGCTGGAATGTGTCCAGAGGAGGGCGACTAAAATGATCATGGGTCTGGAGAACAAGCCCTTTGAGGAGCGGTTTAAAGAGTTGGGCATGTTTAGCCTGAAGAAGAGAAGGCTGAGAGGAGACATGGTGAGGGCCATGTATAAATATGTGAGAGGAAGCCACAGGGAGGAGGGAGCAAGCTTGTTTTCTGCTTCCCTGGAGACTAGGACGCAATGGAGAAATGGCTTCAAACTACAAGAGAGGAGATTCCATCTGAACATGAGGAAGAACTTCCTGACTGTGAGAGCCGTTCAGCAGTGGAACTCTCTGCCCCGGAGTGTGGTGGAGGCTCCTTCTTTGGAAGCTTTTAAACAGAGGCTGGATGGCCATCTGTCAGGGGTGATTTGAATGCAATATTCCTGCTTCTTGGCAGGGGGTTGGACTGATGGCCCATGAGGTCTCTTCCAACTCTTTGATTCTATGATTCTATGATTCCAGCCATGAAAGCCTTCGACAATATGCACCCATTCCTTGCCATTTCTCAGGTGTTCCCTTGGGCTGCTCTTCCCTGCAATTCCTTAGTCTTTTGGCTGAGGAATTCCTCTTGCATGCTGTTCAAGACGCCTTTCGCCCATGAGGTATATAGGGGCCCTGTCTCCGGGGGGGGGGGGGGGGGGGGGGAGGGGGTGGGGGGGGGGGGGGGGGGGGGGGGGGGGGGGGGGGGGGGGGGGGGGGGGGGGGGGGGGGGGGGGGGGGGGGGGGGGGGGGGGGGGGGGGGGGGGGGGGGGGGGGGGGGGGGGGGGGTGGGGGGGGGGGGGGGGGGTGGGGGGGGGGGGGGGGGGGGGGGGGGGGGGGGGGGGGGGGGGGGGGGGGGGGGGGGGGGGGGGGGGGGGGGGGGGGGGGGCGGGGGCGGGGGGGGGGGGGGGGGGGGGGGGGGGGGGGGGGGGGGGGGGGGGGGGGGGGGGGGGGGGGGGGGGGGGGGGGGGGGGGGGGGGGGGGGGGGGGGCGGGGTGGGGGGGGGGGGGGGGGGGGGGGGGGGGGTGGGGGGGGGGGGGGGGGGGGGGGGGGGGGGTGGGGGGGGGGGGGGGGGGGGGGGGGGGGGGGGGGGGGGGGGGGGGGGGGGGGGGGGGGGGGGGGTGGGGGGGGGGGGGGGGGGGGGTGGGGGGGGGGGGGGGGGGGGGGGGGGGGGGGGGGGGGGGGGGGGGGGGGGGCCACCCCTCCCTCCTTTCCTCCTTCCTTCCTTCCTTCCTACTTCCCTCCCTCCTTCACACATTCCTCACTGCAAGCATCACATGGGGAAAAGAGACCCCCGTAAAAGCCAGTCGGACTGATTTTATTCGTCCCAGGAATAAAAGACCCAACTCCATCGCCGAGAGCGGCTTATGCATCTAACCCCCTTCCTCCTTCTTTCTCCTTCCTCTCAACTTTGCTTGGAGTTTTCGTACTTTATTTTTTCCCCTTGGCTCCAACTTGGAATTTATTATTTTCTTCTGCAAATACTGGATCTAGAACTACTGGCACCTGGGGATTTCTCGAGCTGGAGCTTTGCTGGCCTGCTTTGGAGGAATGTTTTGGTTTTTTCAATCAAAAGGACCTAATCACCTCTAGAGCTTAGCTGCGAGCCACCTTTGACCTCGGAAACAGACAAGACACCTGCCCAAGCTTCCTAATTATTATAGTTTTGCATTTTTCTAGTATTTCCTTTTGCATGCAAGCCCAAGACAGGTAAGTAGCCTTCAAATCTCCTGTAGTAATATTATATTGAGTCTTTATTTGTCTCCCAGGGTGCAATGCAGCCAACATGAAGAGTCCCTTAGTCCTAATGGAATGATAAAGGTTAAAGGTATCCTGCAAAATGAGTGGGCCTTTCACATAGTAATCCTAAAACATGGCACATCAGTACCATTGGGCTTGGTGGAAATTGTGTCTTGCAACACTGCAAGTATGGGTGCATCTACACTGTGGAATTAATGCAGTTTGGTACCTCTTTTACTTCTGTGGCTCACTGCTATAGAATCTCGGAAGTTGTAGTTTTACAATGTCTTTAGCCTTCACTGTCAAATAAGGAGTCCCTGGTGGTACAATGGGTTAAACACTTCTGCCGTAGTAGGACTACAGATCATAAGATTGGTGATTCAAATCCAGAGACAGAGGTGAGCTCCCATCTGTCAGTTCCAGCTTCTCATGCGAGGACATGAGAGAAGCCTCCCACAGGATGGTAAAACATCTGGGTATCTCTTGGACAATGTCCTTGCAGACAGCCTTCCTCCACCCAATTCCTTTCTTTGCAATTTTTCAAGTCACTCCTGACATTGAAAAAAACCTGTTAAATAGTGTTATGTCTTACTGTGTTACAGCTTCCATGACTCCATAGCATTAAGACATGTCAGTTAAAGTGATGTCAAACTGCTTTCATTCTACAATGCAGATGTAGCCCAAGTTGTGTATGTATTCAGAGGAAAAGAAATTCAATGTGGTTTTCTGCTAGACAGGTGGGTCTACAGGTGAACATCCTAAAAGTACAGTGATCAGCTTTGGCTGCTTGTTGACCACATTTCAAAATATATTGGTTGGTTTAACTATGTTAGGCAAAGATGTATGGATTTGGTGCAAAGGGGTGTTGATGGCATTTTGGTTGCAAAATGTATGCCCCTTCCTTCCTCCCTCCCTCCCTTCTTCCCTTCCTTCCTCCCTTCGTTCCTACCTTCCTTCCTTCCTTCCTCCTTTCCTTCATTCCTTCTTCCCTTCCTTCCTTTCTTCCTCCCTCCCTCCCTCCCTCCTCCTCCCTCTCTCTTCTCTCTCCTTCTTCCCTCCTTCTCCCTTCCTTCCTCTTCCTTCACTTTTTGCTTCTATCCTTCCTTCCCTCTTTCCTTCTCTCCTTCTTTACCTCCTTCCTTCTTCCTTCCTTCCTTCCTTCCTTCCTTCCTTCCTTCCTTCCTTCCTTCCTTCCTTCCTCCCCTCTTCCCTTTCTTCTTTCTTTCCTCTCTCCCTCCCTCCCTTCCTTTCTTCCTTTCTTCCTCCCTCTTTCTTCCCTTTCTTCCTTCCTCCTTCCTTCCTTCTTCCCTTCCTTCTCCCTCTCCCTTCCTCCTCCTCCTTTTCCCTCCTCCTCCTTCCTCCTCCCTCCCCCTTCCTCTCTCCTTTCTTCCTCCCTTCCTCCCTCCCTCCCCCCTTCCTTCCCTTCCTTCCTTCCTTCCTCCCTTCCTCCCTCTCTTTCCCTCCTCCTTCCTCTTCCTCCTTCTCCCTTCCTTCACCTCCCTCCCTCCCTTCACTTCCTCCCTCCTTCCTTCCTTCCTTCCTTCCTTCCTTCCTTCCTTCCTTCTTCTCCTTCCTTCCTCCCTTCCTTCCTTCTTACCTTCCTTCCTTCTTACCTTCCTCCCCTTCCTTCCTTCCTGGGAATCTTGTACACTGGAGTGTTTGCGAAGTTGGACTACAGGTACTTTCATATATTTTGGGCAATTGGAGGACAATTTTGCTTTAAATGGAGAGTGGTTGTGTATTTTTGAGAGGCTGTTGGGTAACTTCCTCCAATTTTTCATGGCTGAGTCAGTGTTTGAATTCTATCCTCCAGAGCCATGTCCCAATGCCTGAACGACTCTGCCACACTGGCATCTTCCGGGAACGGAAAGCCTTAAATGCCTCTCAGAGAGTTGCTACAAGTTTCCTTCCTCCACTTGATTCCTTCCTTTGCATGAATGAGAATATAAGCAGCAGTGATTGAGCTTCTTGCATTTCCCATTTTGTTTCCAGTCAAACAAATCCGGGAAGGCTCTTTTTCAATCAGCGCCCCACTTCGCACATTAGCAAACAGCTCCCAAGGATGCTGCTGTTACCCAGATGTTTCCACTTCAACTTTTTTTTTCTGCCTCGCAGCTTACAGTCTCAGCTGTCAATGAAGAGCGAAACATGGCAATGAGGGTGGTCTGGTTTTATGGGCATTGGGCTTTGGAGAGCAGGCTGCAAAGCCATGGAATCTCTTTGAGCAATCTTGGGTGAGTCACACTCTCTCAGCCCCAGAAAATCCTTTTGCAGCGACACTATTGAAGACAAAAATGATATAGGATGGGTGATGTCTGGCTTGAAAAATGTCCATGTCAAAAAGGAGGATGTTGATGGTGTCTTCCTGCCTGACAGAGGCTGGATGGCCATTTTCTGGGAGTGCTTTGATTGTGTCTCCTGCGTGACATCTGGCTTGAAAATAATCCATGTCAAAAAGGAGGACGTTAATGGTGTCTTCCTGCCTGACAGAGGCTGGATGGCCATCTTCCGGGAGTGCTTTGATTGTGTCTCCTGCGTGACATCTGGCTTGAAAATAGTCCATGTCAAAAAGGAGGACGTTGATGGTGTCTTCCTGCCTGATAGAGGCTGGATGGCCATCTTCTGGGAGTGCTTTGATTGTGTCTCCTTGCGTGACATCTGGCTTGGAAACAGTCCATGTCAAAAGGACGTTGATGGTGTCTTCCTGCCTGATAGAGGCTGGATGGCCATCTTCTGGGAGTGCTTTGATTGTGTCTCCTTGCGTGACATCTGGCTTGGAAACAGTCCATGTCAAAAGGACGTTGATGGTGTCTTCCTGCCTGATAGAGGCTGGATGGCCATCTTCTGGGAGTGCTTTGATTGTGTCTCCTTGCGTGACATCTGGCTTGAAAACAGTCCATGTCGAAAAGGAGGACGTTAATGGTGTCTTCCTGCCTGACAGAGGCTGGATGGCCATCTTCTGGGAGTGCTTTGATTGTGTCTCCTTGCATGTCTTCAAGAAAAGCATGATATAGGATGGGTGACATCTGGCTTGAAAACAGTCCATGTCAAAAAGGAGGACATCTTTTGGGAGTGCTTTGATTGTGTCTTCTGGCATGGCAAAATGGGGTTGGGCTGGATGGCCTTTGGGCATCCCTTCCAATGCTATGATTCTATGAACCCCACAGGCACTCATTCCTGAATTCCTTCCCTCTTGCCTGATGGTCTCAAACACTGAAAAGAGGCCCAGCATGTTCTCAGTCTTAAAGAGTTCTTTAATGTTCTTAAGATGTCAACGAAATGTACAAAGAACGCACAGATGTTTGATCTGGGTTTTTGGCTGGGGTCCAGACCAAACAGCTGGAACAAACTGGAAGATCTTGGGGGAAGCATATTTGGGGAAGCAAAGCTGGAGGGAATGTGATGCGATGTCCCCAAACCAGACAAAGCCAGACATGCAAGAGGGACACACATCTACAGTTGTGTTTTCACACGTCTCCTTGTTGTCCAAAAGGGGAAAAGTGAACCTAGCAGCTCCTTTAAATGGCTTTTATTTCTGCATGAGCTTTCGTGCAAACCAACCCACTTCTTTAGATGCGGCACAGAGTGATAGTAGATGTATAAAGCATTTACATAACTATATCCCACTCTCATCTATATAAATAAAAATGTAATGTTCGTTTGTGGTATTCACAGAACGTTTGTGGGGGAATTGCCATGACCCCTTAAGTCCGTTCCTCATGTGGTGGTGACCCTCAACCATATAATTATGGTTGGAAAGCTGAGAACCACTGGGCTGAGGGCTCGGTGTTTTGGAAGTCTGGGAGTTGTAGTTTAGCGAGGCACCAGCTCTCTTTGACGGGGAAGGCTAAAGACCTCGTCAAGCTGCAATTCGTACGATTCCATAGAACTGAGCCACGGAAGTGGGAAGAGGTGTCAAACTTCATAAATTCTGCAGTGTAGATGCACCAGAGGTGACAATGCATGGCTTTATGGTGATGTAGCTGTTTTGCTGATAGGATAAGCAGTAGATTGTGATGATACACAACGAGGTACCACACAAAATGTCCCATTACGCAGCATGGGCTCCTGTTACACGACATCTCCCTGTGTGTAATGAGTTCCAATGTGCAACTTGTCCCATTATGCCTCAGGAGATGTTGAATACACAATCTGCCTGGCAACATAGCTAGATTCACCTTCCATCGTAGGAATAGGAGGCTTGTACAACATCACAATCCACCTCCCCATGATGGTAAGACACTTGACATAACATAAATACCTAACAAGATGCCATCCGTCCTGTGAGAGGGCCCCCGCGTGCTCCATCTCCTTCTCCTTCCATCCCGGGATCTGATCTGGCAGCTGAGAAGCCAGCTTGGGGCGATTTTGTTATGAGAACATCCTCGTAACCGTCTTTGCTGTCAACCTGAGTGAAAGGATGTGTCATTTAAGAACAAAATCAACCTGACCCTGAAGGCATGGATCAAGCGGTGATGATGGTTTTTGGTTTGGTTCCCTTTGCTTTCGGCAGTATAGAAATATTCATTCTAAGGATTCATTAGGTCTATGGATTTGGGATGAAAAGCTGGCAGGATCCAACTCCCCACAAAACAGGTTCTCCAAAAGGCAAACAAAGATTTTGCATAGACCAGTGTTTCTCAACCTGAGGGTCCGGACGCCTGGAGGGTCACGAGGAGGTGTCAGAGGGGTCACCAAAGACCATCAGAAAAAACACTAATTTCTGTTGGTTATGGGAGTTCTGTGTGGGAAGTTTGGCCCTATTCTATCATTGGTGGAGTTCAGAATGTTCTTTGATTGTGGGTGAACTTTAAATCCCAGCAACTACAACTCCCAAATGTTAAGGTCTATTTCCCCCAAATTCCACCAGTGTTCACATTTGGGCATATTGAATATCCATGCCAAGTTTGGTTCAGATCCATCATTGCTTATGTCCAAAGTGCTCTCTGGATGTAGGTGAACTACAACTC